GTGCTATTAAATCATCCTTACTTGCAGCTGGGAGCTGAGCTGAATTACGAAGGACGCAGCTCAACCTGATCGAATCGAAGGCTTTCTAAGGTGGTTGAGCAATTCACATATTATGCTTGTGATGTTACTCTGAGGGTATATATATCCACAGCGGGCAAGCTTGAAAAATATGCCTGACCACGGTGGGAATCGAACCTACGACCTCTGGAATACTAGCCCAATGCTCTGCCAACTGAGCTACGCGGTCTGGTCGGTTCGAGTATGTGATATTTCGGAACAGAATATAGTTCCTTCGATATCAATGCTATCTAATAATAATCATGATTTTTCTGTGTTGGTGTAATCACATACTCGAACCGACCAGACCGCGTAGCTCAGTTGGCAGAGCATTGGGCTAGTATTCCAAAGGTCGTAGGTTCGATTCCCACCGTGGTCAGACATATTTTTCAAGCTTGCCCGGTGTGGATATATATACACTCAGAGAGAAATCACAAGCATCATATTCACCTGAGTACATTACACCAACACACAGAAAAATCATGAATTCACATATTGTCTATAATCAATATTACCCTCTCGTACTGGTCCATTTTGCTTTTCTCACGTTCCTCTCTCATTTTTGTCGTCATCAGCGGCTTCTCTGCAGTCCTTGATAAGTCAAACGCATTAATAATTCATAAGTAAATTAGCCAACCATATTGCTTTATTTTGTTCACATGATAACACTGGATACCTGATGAAGTATATTGATCCAGTCCTAGGACTGGATCAAAATTAATTCAGTCCTTAGACTGCATCAAAATTAATTCACCTCACTTTAAGTAGTGATTTCTTCGTATGAGATGTCATTTCAAATCTTCCAATTCGGACTGGATTAGATTTCAACCATCAAATTGCGCGGACTTGAAACCTATTCCAGTCCTCATACTCGGATTTTAAATATTACATATAATGTAAATACGACACGAGCAGTGGAATTAGCTTTCACGTCGAAACAAGCCAATTCAGAACGTCGGAAATTGCAGTTGAACATATACCGAGTAGTTGACCATTTGGATGCGCAGTCGAGACTCTGAATCGACTTATTGTGATCATTCAAAACTACAAAATCGGTTATTCTACTTCTGTATAGAAGCCCAGGAGGCTCACGTTAAGTTGCGTTTGAACTCTTTATTTTTGTATATTTGCAAAAAAACGTTACGTTTATAAAAGGATTTTTTCGGTGAGTTACAAAAGTTTTTTTGCGACTTGAAAATATTTTCTGAGTTAAAAGTTTTCTGTGAGTTAGAAAGTTTCTTGTCATTTGAAGTTTTCGGTGAATTCAGAATCATTTTGTGGGCTGCTGGACTTCTATACTTGTGACATAATACACGGCTAAAAACGCACAGGTTGTTCCAAGTTGATATCGACAGGCGTGAACAATGTTGTGCGGCCAACTATGAACCAGTTGTCAACCATGTTGTTCCAAGTTGTTACAGTTGAACAATGCTGTAACAACATGTTGACAATATACTGTTCATAGTGGGCCGCACAACCTTGTTCACGCCTTTATCAATCAATCTGGAACAAGTTGTTGATTTTCTCAATTTTTACGCGTGTAGATAACAAATCATTTCGAAACAAAGACAGATATTGACAAAGTGTACAACATACTACGGTTTTTCTACCCAAATGAACCAAAATTTCATTTCATTCATACGAAATACCTTTCATTTTTAAGACCCTTCAACATAAGCCGTAAATCATTGACTGTGACTTCAAAAAATTCATCAGATATGTCGTCTGGAACAAGAACAGAAAATGTAAATACTTAATCTGACAGCCTTCCCCGTACAATGCAAACACAATGGAATTCCCTATAGGTAAATTTGCAGCGGGTGCAAAAACAATGGTGAAAACAATAGATTCAAGATGGCGTCGGAAACCTTGAATCCCCCTATAGCGAAGGACAGAGCTCAAACTGATCCAGTCGAAGGCTTTCTAAGGCACCTCTGGCAGCCACATGAGTTATGACCCATGGTGAAAGGGTAAGTTAGGGGCTAATCCCCACCAAACCTGTCAACAATTTTTCTGTGGGAGGAAAATGGAGTCCGAAACGAAAATCGATCTCAGAGGTGAAAAGGCGCTCGCACTGACGATTGTGCCAACATGGCTGCGGAAAATACGAAGCAATCGAGCGACGCTACCTCCAAAGTCTAAAGGGCCAACTCCAAACCAAAATATACACTTGAGTAACTTTGTAATTCAAAACTAATTGAGTTGGAATATGAATTGTGGAGTCACTGGCTATCATTTGAAGCTAGGTATAACTCCAAAAATCATGAAAAAGCTAGGTATGGAAGCCCCTAGCGGCATTTTGTTCTCGTTCGGAGGCTAAATTTTGATCTACAGTTGCGACGCAACCCATTCTCGTATCCCTCGACCCTCGTCATGCTCTGTTGACCGCTTGTAAGATGGGCTCTGGGTACGAGAATGTGGCATAGCCTAGCTCCATTTGAAGATTGGCTGCCTCCACAAAAATACAATCTACAGGTATGTGCGCCAACGAAGCTGCTAACCTTACCTGAAGATATGGAACTGCTATCTCCCAGGCGAAAAGCCACAGGCTTTCTTTCAGGCAAACATACATTACTAAATAGAAAAGGAAATAAATTTATTGGATGTTGATGTTTTTTGTTGATGGGGTTTTCTAGATGGAAATTTCGTGCAAACATTTATGTACAATTTCTAAATCTGACGACCAGGGATCGGTTGTTCAAAGCTGGGTTAGTTTAACCCTTGGTTAACCTAAAATTCGAAGCAAACTTTCTGACAGCTTTTCTATAAATATGGAAATATTTATTCAGAGATCTTATCTGGATCGATTCAGAGTTTACTTCTCTGAAGTTTTGAAATACACAGATGTGTACGTAGAAATACACAAACTAAAACAGCAGGTTAAATTTTAACCCAGGGTTAGCGCTAACCCACCTTTGAACAACCGGTCCCGGAAGAATTAAGCTGCGAAAAAATGCAACCATAGGCCCTCTGGCAGGAATCGAAAAAAAATCCCTGCGGCCCTGTGATGCCGGTGCAGCGCTCTGACTTACAGAAACAACTTTCAAGAACTGAGATTGTCAGCAACGAAAGGTGGTAACCTACCCCCCTCAAATATTTTTAAGTGCCCCCCCCCCCCACTGCGGGAAAGAGTTATACCTTTGCATGGATTCAGCATTTCTTGACTGTGGCGATTCCTTATTTGTCTATATCAAAACCAACAAAACAGTGTCACAATCGTCCACAAAATATATTGAGACTGTTGGAATCCACTCCCCCCTTGCCCCTGTCTCAATGTTGAAATGCTATTATCTTCCTGACAGAAATATAACGTGACCCATTGGCATTCAAAATCGAATGCATGATATTTCAATAAAACAATTTTACAGCACAAAGCAACATTGAAATGAGGGGAGCGGGGGTTTGTCTCAAATATTTTGTGGACGATCGTAGGTGTGAGTTGCCACAATGTGCCCCAAACACTGCAGGGACGATCCAATTCCTTTCTAGATCTACTGATAGAGCTGTTCACCAGCAACAGAGTTAGTTAGTTAGTTGGTTGGTTAGTTCAGTTTCATTCAAACTCAGGTTTTTTCAATTGCTCACCTTATTTGACGACGACGACGACGGAGGTGAATGAAAGCGTGGCTTCTTTACATCAGGTCCTTGAAAGCAAACAACAAGGTGATACGACGGGACCTTCACTGTGGGAGGTGGGGGGGGGGGCAACATAGTTTTACAGAGGGGCCAACATTGGGGCTGTGGGGCACTTGGCCCCTCCAGTCTACATGTTAAAAGAGGCCCTGTAAAGTCGCATGTGAAAAACTTAATTGACTCCTATTGCTGTTCCGAATGCTTCAGTTTCCTTCCGTAAATGGGCCCCAAACAGGACAGCTAATAACCGATATAGGTGCTTTCCAGTTTAAATATAAATACAGTTAGTTCAGTTTTAGTTTTGTTTGGTTGTGTTTACTACCTTTCCACAATTAAAAAATATTCGAAAACAACTATATGCTCACTGTTTACTACCTTTACCTGTTTCACTTAAAGTCCTGCCCGGTCCACTGAATGCTTGAACTTTAGTCGCAGTTCTAGATGTCCTTCCATCTGATGTTGACGCTACAGATTCCACGGGGGGTGGGCACGAGTCCGCTCGTGTCTCACTATCTATTTTAACTGCGGAACTAATCTCCTCTCTTCCCAGCCCAGTGTGCACATCAGACTGTTCAATGTCCATGGCATCTTGATTTTTCCCGCCTTTATTCTCAGCCTGCGTATCCCCGCCTTCGGATTGGCTGCTCAGTTTGATCTCACAGAGTTCAGAGTCCATCGCATCATGATTCCTTATGCCTTTTCTCTTAGACTGTGAAGACTCGGTCTCTGATCGGCTCGCCTGGTTCGGTTTATCTGAATTAATAATAGGTTCAATAATATAAGTATCACAAGCAAGGGTGGAAAACGTATCAGACTGCGGGACCATTGGTCCCAGAAAATTTTCTGAGCTATCAGAAATTATTTTTCACCCTGCTCGGTTTCCTTTGTTCTTATCGGGGAATATATTCAATATTCCCCTCTAATCAATTTCCGTTTAATAATCCCCTCTAATATTCACCTGCAATGTCTTTGCAGCACAAAAAATGAGAAAAACAACATCACGAAGGCAATATGGCATTAAGAATTATTTCTATTCTGACTCATTAACGCGACCTCGCAATGTGAAAAATAAGTACGTTATTTTGAGCCACCTCGGGGATATGTGTTTATTCACCTCGGCGCTGCGCGCCTCGGTGAATAAATCACATATCCCCTCGTTGCCTCAAAATAACCTATACATATTTCCCCAAGAAAGAAAAAAAGATAATTGTGAGATAAAGATTCTAACCGATAGAAAGGATATTCCTGTACTTGTAGGTGTGCCTTGGGAAATACAATTATAAGTGCATCGATCTTAATTAATAGTGCAATAGTGTATAAATCTATAGGCTATAGAATGAAGTAACAAATGTTGTATGGCAAATATTGGCAGAGCATGGATCTCCCTAAGGCAAAATAGCATTACTGGTGTGACTTTAAAAATCGAATACAAATATAAATGGGAACAGTAGCTGTGTTTTAGCTGTAGAATAATGCCAAATCTTATCAAATCTATTAAATTAGTAGCAAAACTTTGTTATATTTTCAAAGATTATTTCAGGGGCTGAGCCTCCCCAAACTGAAAGGAAATTTTAACAGGGGGGAGGGGCTCAGCCCCATCCCCCTTGTATTAACATTATTTTCTCACTCTGATAACCATTTGTTGACCGCCTTCTGCAAGCTGTACGATTGTGAATCTCACCTGCAGAATCAGACAATTGCAATACATCATCCTCACTGACTTGACTGGCCATGGACATGCTACTAGTACTACAAGACGCCACATCCATTTCTTCAGTTGATGATATTTCTTTAACTAAGGACGTGTCTTGAGAAATGAGGGTGTCAGACTTTTCAATCGTTGCTGCAGCAGCACCTATAACCAAATATAAACATAATTAATATAAGCTCAAAATAAGAGACTGTCAGTGTTCGTGTAGTGTTCGCATTGCTTGTTCCTAGTTGTTTGGAAAAAGCTGTTAACAACTTGTAACAAGCTTGATGGCATTATCAGACTTGTTACAAGGTTGTTCTAACAAAATTGATACAGTCGTGATATAACAAGAATTTTTACTTCAAAATTTTTTTACAACGGAAAATTTGTGTCGGCCAATCACATTTTATAAAATTTTCTTTCTCCGGAAAATGTTCCTGAATGGAAGTGGACCTTTAGGCGAGACTTTTTTTATTTATTGGTTTGCGGATTTGACTTAAAGGTAGGTCGGAAAATTTTTTAAAAAAACACACTGAGTATAAATGAGAACCAAATTCAATAATCTCTATTAAATTTTTTAACGTTAACTTCAAAAACGCAAAAAAACATGGCTAATCTCCATATTGATTGTCACAACGATAACATGAGCCAGCAGTACTTAGAGTCAAAGTTTACTTGACCCTTGACCTACACTTCATGTCAGAACCCCAAATTCACTAAAATTAACTAAAATTATAAAATTGTTGACATCCAAATTTTTAATTTTTTTTTTACTTTCTGAATGTTTACGGTTGGCGGATCCGTAAACCAATGAATAAAAAAGTCTCGCCTTACGCGTGTACACGAAATCATAATTTTTAATACTAACCTTTATAATCATTGTCCGGTTTTGACGCAGTTGGTTGAATAAGTCTGAAATTATATACGACAAACTTTTGAATTTTGAAAAATATGATGGACAGGATTACAGGAACAATGCGCTACATAGATGGATAGATTGTTTAATGAAAAACCTTCTTACAGCTATAAAAATTGAATTTAATATAGACAATTCCCATTATAGACTAATTTTTTATCTTGGCAAAAAAAGTATATTCCCGGAAAGGGCATACTAAAATTAGTAAAATTGCAAAGATTGGTTGCGAAATGTTGTAAAATGCGGAAAATATAGCCTTGCAAAGTTCGCAAATTTTGTATTCTTTTGTATTGCGTGCGGAAATTGCTAACACATTTGGGCCGAAAATGGTAGCAATATTTACGCACGCAATACAAGAAACCAAAACGATATAAAAATCACCTTATTACACCACGACCACCGTTCAAACCTATCATTGATAAAGTAGTTTTTTGAAGTTTCGCTAAACCACGAATCTATAAAAGTACATGAGTATTAATAAAAATAATAGATAGCCATAACTACTTTTTTCTACGCAAGAGATCATAGTAAAATGTTCAGAATTTTTAGACCGTCCGATAGCGAAAAGAAGAAATATCGCCATGCCAAAACTATTAAAGGTTTTCACTCGATCATAGACAGAGACCAGAGGTATCTCCGTTCTACGTTTGGTGAGCGTACGTGAAATACTGGCTGAGAAATAAAGGCCTACTTTTCTCTGTTCCATAGATATCTATTGTTTCGGGGGGGGGGGGGGGGGG